TATGCCAATCGCTTCAGGGGATGGTAGGCTAGCACTCCACGTTGAGTTTTTTGATTGAAACAAGCTTTTACTAAGAATTCGAATTCTCTTTTTTTCAAGCTTTTTTCGTTTATGGTTTGGCCGTTTGTGCAGTGCTTAGGTTCTGAATTAGGTTTGTAATGCTTGCTTATGTATGTGTGAATGAAATTAGGTCAGCAGCTGAGCCTGCATCCTTGTGTAATTAAGCCTTGAGATTTTGTTGACCACCATTAAAGGACCTTTCCATATTTGAAGCAAATCCAAGATTTTGTGCACCAAAAGGCTTGGCACGAAATTGTTAGCTGGCACATGACATATAAAAGTTATTCAAGTCACCAAGATGCCATTCCATTAATTTTTAGATTTTGTTTGAATTATTATGGATTTAAAATGAATTAAATCAATAAAAATTAAATAAAATAGAAAAATAAATGTTTGATCTTGAAATTAAGCATGGGACACGTGTATGGCATGACAAGGCTGAATCAAGTGGAAGAAAGTGGGCCCTTTTGTCAAAAATTGAAGTTTTAAGGATAGTTGACTTTTGCCATTTCACAAAAATTTCCCAACTTCTCCAATGCATATCTTGCTCAATTTTGATCATATGAACATGTTCTTGGACATTTTGGAAAGGTCTTGAAGTCCCCTAACCAATGCCTTTAGTCCCATGTCATTTGGATTTACCAATCTCAAGTTATGGTCTTTGACTTAAAATGTCTTTTTGTTGACTTTTGAAATTGACCTATAATGTTGAAATTGATAACTTTTTGTGAGAGCATTTCTTGGACTTGGAATGTGAAAATGAGTTGTAGGAAATGTCATCCCCTTCAAAATGAGCATTGGATGGGATTTTTCTGATGAACCATGAAAAAGTTATGCCTTGGTCAAGTTACAGTTGACTTTTCAACTGTCCCAAAATATAAACTTTTGCATCCTTGATGATTTTTGAGCCATGCTTGTGGAATCATGATCAAGACTTGATCAAATGATGATTGTGGCTTCAAAATAAGATGTTGACCAAAATTTCTGACTTTTGACTGCAAAATGACCATTTTGCCCCTACAGTTGATTGTGAAGCAATTAGGGTTTTTGATTGTGCAACTTGATGCTGTGAGTCTTGAGACTTGCCATGTAGGTGCTTGATAATGTGTATAGGCCTATGGGACTTGATTGAGCCATTGAAAACCTCAAATTCTTTGCAAGAACCAAAACCCTAATTTTGACTGGCTTAGGAGGCATTTGGACTGTGCAACCCTTGAGGAATCTTGACGAATATAGGAGGGCAAATTTTGGGGTACAACAAGAGGTAATTATCTAAACTTCTTATCTTTCATCCAAGCATAGTAATGTAGGCCTTATTCATGAGTGTGTGTTTTCTTAGACCCATACTTCCAGGTTTCTTTGGTTTTCCCACTTCTTCCCACCTAATTGTATGTAAATGCTTTTCATCTGTAACCTCCCCCAAATGAATTGTCTTTGAATATTTTTAATAGCTTTCAAACAAGTTTTTGGAATCATGTTGCTCATTATAGTGTAGGTGATAATTACCTTCAATACTAATTTAGCCAAGGTGGTCCTCCATGCACAAGAAACGACATCCTTGAATTGTCATTGCACAATTCTCTATCAAGTCATTCATATTCACTAACTCCCCTTTGAAAAACTAGACCTATCCATGTATACGTATTACCCTCTAGACCAATGTCCATCAGGTTGCAAGCATTTACTCTATCTTTAAATAAACTATATTTTCGATTTGAAGCAGCCAATATTGCCATTTTCTTCATTGCTCCAATTAAGTCGTTGAAGTCCCCTCCAAGTAATCACCCACCCTTCAAATTAAGATATACCTTTTTGTAGTTCTTTCCATATTTCCTTACTACTTTCTTCTCTAGGGATTGCATATATTAATGTGAAACACCATTCCTTTCCATTCACCTGTTTGATCTTATAATGACTGAACTAAAAATGCTTCTGATTAATTGTTAATGTCACCTTCTCTTTCTTCCACACCATGGAGATTCCCTCAACATACCCTTGATTTTTATCCAAATCATAACCATCGAACCCTATAACTTTGAATTTGTTACGAAGTTTATCTACATAACTCTAGTTTCCAAAACTATGAACATATTGGATGACACTCACGAATATAATTCTTGCAAACATGAAGAAAGTCCTTGTTAACAACTCCTCAATAATTCCAAATAATTTTTTTGAAAACTTATCACAAACCGTATGAAAGGATTATGCGATTGTTTGAACTCCTTGCCATTGGCTTGTAGTCCCTTCGACGACTTCATATATGAATTATCACTTTCATCCAAAATAATATCAACTGCTTAAATGGAAGCTTGTTTGATACCCTATTTTTTCTAATTAAGAGAATCTAAAACTTTCGGAACTTGGTGCTCTCCTTAGTCCCATGTCTCCCTTCCTCCAAACATCCTTGGGTCTTGAGTACTTTTGGTCCTAGTTGGTCCAAGTTAGTACCTTTTCCCGTGTGTGGCCCAAACATGCCACTTCCCACTAAGTGGATTATCTATGACCTGCTCTCATTCCAAATTTAAACCCTTAATGATGCCCTTTACCCCATTTCTCCCATCAGTTTATCCATGCTATTTTTCTTCACACGTGTTCCCCTTTTTGACTCTCTCATTTATTATACCACGTGATTCAACCTCTAATCCAACCTTGTTACTTTTTTCTTTTTATCTTTCTTTTATTAGCATTATTTTCCTTCTTCGTGTGTTGACCTCCTATATCTCCACCCGAATCTTCCATATTTTCCGTTTTCTCATTCATGTTGCAAGCATTATGGTTTCCATTTTGTTCCTCAATGATGGGAACATGATCATTAATGTCTTCATTATTAGATTCCCAATTAAGTGCAATAAACCTAAATCCCTTGATTTGTGCCATAACATTAACTACACTTTTAACCATCAGTGCACTGCTCCCCTTTGTTGTTTGTATGCCGTATTCCAACTCAACCTTATTCCTTCACGGTTTCCTTTTTTTTGCATGACCATCTATGGCCATGCATTGGACGAAGTAACTATATCTGTTACCATCCCTTCATTTCTTCCTCTTACGTCTGCTTCAACCATCAATTATCGTTTTCCCATGCATTCCTCTATGTAGTGACCAAACATACCGCAAGTAAGACATAAAAGGTGTAATCCTTCATATTACACCTTATAGTGTCTACCTTTAATATATAACATAAATAATAAAGGCTTAGTCAGATAAACTTGTATGCATAACCTTGCATACTTGCCTCTTTCCCTTGTGAGCGTATTTTTTCGACCTTAATTGTCTTACCAATATGATCACCAGTAAATGAAATAACTATTTCCATAGTATTCTATAGGTAATCTAGAAATCCTAACCCATAATGCAAGTTGTTCAATAGCATCACTAGATGGACACAAATTGCCGCTATATTTCCTTACGAAAAGATTGATCTTGTATAAGCTAGGGCCCATCAATTAACGCTACATGTTAATCGTCTTCACTAGCGAATGTGACCAGGTAGTATTCTTGCACTAGATGTACTATATTCAGAGCACCTTTATTCACCCACATATGTTGAATTCTATTTTCAAGTGCCTTGTATCATACCTTTCTCCTTATCATCTTCTCCATCATCCCCGTCTCCACGACTTAACAATTCCTTTTTCTTTCATCTCTGAGAGTATGAAATATGGACATTCATACTCTCCGAATTTCTTCTCTTCAATATTCAATCCTCCAAAAATCTCTCCTCCATCATTCAGACCTAACTGTGGATGAAAATGCTATGGTGTTTCATCCCTTGCATTAGAGGTTTCCATAGTCACCATACTTTTATACAAAATGTTACCTCTATTGCTATTTTCTAAGGGTGTCAAAATAGGTCTGACTTGGCCTGTCGGGTATGCCCGTTTTGCCCGCACTTTTTTGTGGGGCGAGCCAATGTTTTAGACACACACTCTCTAATATATCAACTCTGACTTGTTTTTTTTGTGGGAACGTGCATTAACATGAAAATTTATAACTTTTAAGCTTAAAAGGCGCAATGCATGTGGATCCGCCATACCCCACACTCATTTTTTATAGGGAGGGGCAAAATTTTAGGCCCACACCCTCAACAAAACCCGCTCTGCTCCCGTCCTATTTTTGTAGGCTTTTGCAGGACAGACCTAAACGAGGTGGACATGTCTGTTTGTCACTCATACTATTTTCATCAACTTTTTCTTGCAACAACAATACATTTGACATGGAAGAGGAGAGAGTCTCATCTCTTCCTTTAACTTTTTTCGTGCTTCTGTCATCCAATTGTTCTTCTTTCAATAGTTTTTTTGGTTTGCCGTTGCAAACCCTAGCAGAAGAAAATTCACAATTAATTATTATTATTTATAAAAAAAATATTCCCTCTGTTCTTTTTTAAGTGTCACTTTTGTGAAAAATTTATATTCTTTTTTAATTGTCACTTGTAAAGTTCAATGTAATAATGATTATAATTTTGTCCGAATTATCCCTACCTATTTATTATAGAGAGAGAAAAAATATATCAAAATAATTAAAAATTAAGAATATTATAGACAAAAGAAAAATTATAACATGAAAAATCAAAAATATAATTAAAAAAAAAACGGAAGGAGTACTATGTATGTTAGAATATTAATTTACAAAGAACGTGGATATAATTTAGATATGTTTATTCTATAATTGAGTACCATTATTTGTTTTATATCATCCTATTAATTAAAATGAAAACGAAAACTAAAAATAAAATGAAACAATTTTTTATATAAATATTTTTACACGTGCGCTTAAAGAAAAACGTGGATAGTAGTAATAGTTTGACTTTGATTCAGAGTGGTTGAGAAATTGATTGTGATTGCAAACTCGTGATCGCTCAACTCGCTTCAACTTCAACCTCTATCCATCTTCAAAATTTCATCTCTACTCTAAACAATAAACAAATAAACTCTTTCATGCTCGCCACGGACCCCACCGTCGCGCTTCGAATACCTGTTCGCAACCCGCCCCGCTCACTCTTCACCTCCACCACCACTTGCTGCTTCTATTCAGGAGGAACTCGATCGAGACCCAGCTTCTCCGTGGGTCCCACTCTTTCCCTCAATTCTATCAAAATGCAACTGCTTCGCCGCCTCAAGGTTGAGGCCGAAATCGGCGGTGAAGACTTGTTCAACGCTGGTGCCACGGATAAACGAGTTCCTAATCACCTTGTTATTATGGTTAATGGTATAACTGGAAGGTAATGGAATGGTTTAAATACATTTAGGGTTTTGCATTCCTTTTTCGGAAAATTGGAATTAGGAATAATTATAGTTGATGGATAATTTTGTTGAATGCTTATTCAACATTGTGAAAGAGTTTGAATGAATACTAATTCTAACAAACTCTCCCAAGCTAATTCTGGAACACAAAGTTAGCTTAAACCTGATACTTATTTTCTCAAAACTCAACTTTAATGACTCCATTTGCTACCAACTCTCTTAAAAAGTAAAAACGAACGTAACACTGGATTCTTTGATAATTTTATTGTTGAACTGTTGTCGCAATATATCACATCCAAGCTGCTCTGTAACCCTTCTAAGCCACACAACTTGGCTTGAACATCCCGCTTCTGCTACAAATTTCGCTTCTGTGCTAGAGAGAGTAACTATAGGCTGTTTCTTCAACAGCCAGGAAACTATCCCTCCTCCAAGCATGAACACATAACCTGATGTGCTCCTCCTATCATCCAAATCTTCAACATAGTCACTATCTGTGTAACCAATCAAACCAATAGTAGCTCTCTTATACATGACACCATAGTACAGTGTTCCCTCGATGTACCTCATGATTCTATTAGCAGAATGTAGATGCAAATTGGTTGGCTTACTCATAAAACGACTAATGATACTGACCACATATGCTAAGTCTGGTCGTGTAGATGTTAAGTACATCAAGCAACCAACAATTTGTTTGAAAGTTGTCTCACATATAGTAGTCCCTGCATCATCTTTGTGTAGCTTGGTCCCGGGCACCATTGGTGTCTTCACAGCTTGACAATTCTCCATTCCAAACTTATCCAATATCCCCCTCGCATATTTCTTTTGACACATGAAGTTGCCATGAGCTGTTTAAGTAACTTATATGCCAAGGAAGTACCTCATCAGCCCCAAATCAGTCATTTCAAAGGTGTTCATCATGGACATCTTGAAGTCTTCAAGCATTACTGCATTGCCACTTGTGTAGATTAAATCATCAACATACACACTCACAATAAGTAGATTACCTGCATTACTCCACTTAGTGAAGAGTGTTTGCTCACTCTGACACTTTTCAAAACCTTCCCGCACAAAGTTCTTCTCTATCATGCTAAACCAAGCTCTAGGTGCTTGTTTTAGCCTGTAGAGTGCCTTGTGCAGCTTGAATACCTTCTTTTCCGAGCCTTTTTCTTGAAATCCTTGTGGTTGTTTCACATATACGTCTTCTTCAAGTTCACTATGAAGAAAAGCTGACTTGACATCTAGCTGATGGATCTTCATTGTTGTTGAGCGGAAAGGGCAACAATGGTTCTTAGCGTCTCCTTTCTTGCAACTGGGGCGTACACCTCTCCATAATCGATTTCGTGCTTCTGTGAGTAGCCTTTAGCTACTAATCGTGCTTTGTGTTTCTCCAACGCTTCTTCTACATTCAATTTTGTCTTGAATATCCATTTGACTCCAACTACCTTTGCCTTGTTTGGCAAGGTAACAAGCGACCATGTCTTATTCTTCTATATGGACTCAAACTCCTTCATTGCTTCGATCTAGTGAGGTTCCTTAATAGCCTCTTCAAAGGTTGACGGGTCATTGTTCACAATTGATAATGCCACGTCCTATGTTGGTATGCTTGATTCATCTAATTCGGATATTGCTCCTTCATTTGTTACGTATTCACGAAGCCAAGCAAGCTTACGAGAGTTCCTGCCACATCTAGTTTGCACTGTTTTTTCTCTATCTGCAACATCTGCATCTACATCACTTCTTGCTCTTGTAGGCTATGCTATCTCCACTTCTTCTCCCTTTACTTCCTTTGATTGATCACGATCTTCCCTCACTTGGTCTGAGGCTCTTGAAGACCAAACACTATCATCAGTTTCATTCTCATTGAGCTGCATCAAGTCCCGAGTTTCATAGGTAGATGTCCATGGCCAATCATGATCCTCAACAAATATTACATTTCTGCTCACAATGACTTTGTTAGTAAGAGGATTAAGCAATGTATAGCCCTTTGATTCATCACTAAACCCAAGAAAAACCCATTTTGCTCCTGTCATCAAGCTTTGTTCTTCTCTCCTTTGGCACACAAGCATATGCCTGACAACCAAAGACCCTGAAATGTGCAATTGAGGGAACCCGATCTGTCCAAGCTTGTTTTGGCGTCATTTCTGTTAAGGCTGCATTTGGACATTTGTTAAGGATGTGATTACTCCATTTCACAACAGCTGCCCACAACACCTTTGGCATCCTTTTTTTTCCAGACATGATGGAGTGCACCATACTCATTAGTGTACGGTTCTTACGCTCAACAACTACGTTTTGCTAAGGTGAGTATGCAGTGGTAAGTTGGCGTTTCATGCCATGTTCTTCACAAAAGGTTTTGAAATCTGCCAAGTTGAATTCACCACCACGATCAGTCCTTAAGCACTTCACGGTCTGATCTGTTTCCTTTTCTACTGTGCGTACAAAACATTTGAAGAAGTGAAGAGTCTTTGATTTTTCAGCTGAGAAATAAACCCATGTCTTCCTACTAAAGTCATCAATAATGCACAATACATATCCCTTGCCACTATAACTTACTGGTTGAATATGGCCACAGAGGTCTGCATGAATAAGCTCCAAAACTTGAGTAGCACGCCAGGTGCTTTTCTGTGGAAATGGCAGGCGATGTTGTTTTCCGAGTAAACAATCTTTACAAATTGATGTGGTCTTTTTTAGTGTGGGATTCCTTTAAGTAGATTCTTTGTTTGAAGCTGCAGGAGTGCCTGATGGTTTAGGTGGCCAAAGTGTCTGTGCCAAAGTGAGTTAGTCTGCATGGTGCTAGTTTTAAGCATGCATGTTTCTTGAATAATAGGCTTGTAGACATCTGGGAATATGAGGAACACCGTGTTGTGGCTCATGGTAGCATGAATGACCCTTGTTTGTGAAAGATGTAATGCTGAGCTGTCTTAGTTTGTTAGATCATAACAGAATTCTGTTATGCTGAGCTGTCTTAGTTTGTTAGATCATAACAGAATTCTGTTATGCTGAGCTGTCTTAGTTTGTTAGATCATAACAGAATTCTGTTATGCTGAGCTCTCTATATAAACAGAGCTATCATTGTATCTAAAATGATCAATACAATTGAGATTTGATATAACTGTTTTTTCTGTTAGCTTTATGATATTCTATCATGGTATCTAGAGCATTCTTTTCGATCCAGTAGTGGTTCTCCATGGATTCCCTATTTCCCTCTTCGCAAGTGAAGTTGTCACATCTTATCTCTGTCAAGCTTGATGATAAGAATTTCAAGCAGTGGAAGCAACAAATCGATGGTGTTGTTCGTGGCCATCGGTTACAACGATTTGTTACTGTACCGGTGATTCCACCGCCGCCATCGTCTGGTACTGATTCGTCACCTCACGGTGCGAATTCTGCGTATTGCGAGTGGGAACAACAAGATGCGCTCATATGCACTTGGTTGTTATCCACCATCTCCGATTCCATTCTTCCCAAACTCGTTGACTGTAGACATGCATGGCAAGTCTGGACGGAGGTTCATCGGTACTTCGGTACACTTCTATCCACCAAAGCTCGTCAACTGCGCTCGGAATTACGCCGCCTTACGAAAGGCACTCTTACGATTGCTGAATTGATGATTCGTGTTCGTGAAATCAGTGAATCACTGGTTTCGATCGGCGATCCCGTTCCTCTTCGAAACCTAATTGAAATTGTGCTCGATTCTCTTCCTGAGGAATACGACTCCATTGTCGCCGCCGTCAACAGCAAAGAAGAAGTCGGTTCACTCGATGAACTTGAGTCGTCGCTGCTGGCACATGAATCGCGTCTGGATAAGCATCGCAAAGCAGTTCTCACTGAGCCGGTGACAGTCAATTTGACTCAGGCGTTGACACCGTCATCGCCGGCTACGTCAGATCATTCCAGTGCTGGTACTGAGGCTTTTCCACAGGGAACAAGTCATGTTACTGCCAATGCTGAGAATCATGGCTATGGTGCACGTGGTGGCCGTTCAAATCGTGGAGGCGGTCGTTTTGGCCGTGGAGGTGGCCGTTTTGGCAAAACTCAGTGTCAGATTTGTCACAAATCTGGACACGATGCGTCCATCTGCTATTATCGTTACTCAAATTCTGCTGCTGGAATGTATCAGTCTCAGAGAGCTCCCTACAATCCTTTCATGATGCCATCACGACCTATGTACCAACCTCCCTTTAGCTATGGTGTTCCAAGAGCTGCTTCCTCTCGTGCATCTTCTCCACAGGCTTTCTATGCAGGCACTGATGTTGGCTTCAGTAATCAATGGTGGTATCCTGATTCCGGTGCGTCCCATCATGTTACTCCTGATCCCTCAAATGTGTCTGAATCTAATTTTGTGCCTGGAACTGAGCAAGTGTTTATGGGAAACGGCCAAGGTTTGTCTATTCATTCTATTGGTTCTATGCCTTTTCCTTTACCTAACCATCCTCACATGTCTCTCACTTTGCAAAATCTCTTACTCGTGCCTCACATCACTAAAAATCTTATGAGTGTTAGCAAATTTGCTCAGGACAATAAGGTTTTCTTTGAGTTTCACCCAAAATTTTGTGTTGTCAAATCCCAGGCTTCTTCTGAAGTTTTACTTCGTGGTCTGGTGGGCGCAGATGGTCTCTACAAATTTCCTGTTCCAGCCTTACAAAATTTCAAGTCCTCACCAAGTCTCAACTCCTGCCTAGCTGAGACTTCAAAACAGTGTAGTAGTAGTACTTCAAGTAGGTCTGTAGGCAATACAAATGATTCATACAAGTGTATTTCTCTGTGTACTGCTGATCTATTCATGAATAAAGATAATTCCATTTGTTCCACTTTACCTTCTCTCAATGCTACTACTTATAATTCTTTATCATCTCAGCATGTGAATAATTCTCTGGCTATAGCAACAAATAAATATGTTTTATGGCACTCTCGTTTAGGTCATCCTCATCATCATGCTCTCACTGAGGTGTTTAAACTGTGTCAATTTTCTGCTCCTTCTAAACCACCTACAGAACTGTGTTCAGCTTGTTGCTTAGGCAAATCTCACAGGCTTCCCACCTCTCTGTCTGCCACTGTTTACAAGCAGCCTTTTGAGCTTGTCGTTTGTGATCTATGGGGTCCTGCTCCCATGCTGTCCTTAGGAGGTTATAGCTATTTCCTAACTTGTGTTGATGCCTTCTCTCGCTTTGTGTGGGTCTTCCCTCTTAAACTTAAGTCTGATACTCTCTCTCAATTTGTTCAATTCAAGAAAATGGTTGAACTTCAATTTAACTTTCCTATCAAAAGTGTGCAGAGTGATGGAGGGGGTGAATTTAGGCCATTCACCAAGTATCTCAATGACTTAGGCATAGTCCACAGATTCACATGCCCACATACCCACCATCAAAATGGCATAGTTGAGCGCAAACATCGCCATATTGTTGAAACAGGTCTAGCCTTACTTGCACAATCCACATTGCCCTTGAAATTTTGGGACCATTCCTTTGTTACAGCAGCCTATCTAATTAACAGACTCCCTAGTGTCAGTCTCAATAATCAGTCCCCTTATTTCAAACTTCTCAACAAGCAACCTGATTATTCTTGCCTAAGAGTTTTTGGATGTTCCTGTTTTCCTTTTCTCCGCCCTTACAACTCTCACAAACTTGACTACCGGTCTCAAGAATGTATATTTCTAGGGTATTCCACTTCTCATAAAGGCTACAAGTACCTAGCTCCTAATGGTCACATCTACATATCTAAGGATGTCTTGTTCCAAGAGTCCATATTCCCTTATTCCAAATTATTTTCTGAATCTTCTAAACCTTCCTCATCTACCACACCTCAATCTTCCACTTTTTCTTATTCCAGTGTGCCTCTCATGTCACCAACTCCTATTTCGCAAGTCAGTTCTGACCCATCCATTTCTGCTACTCCTCTTTCTTCTACTCACATTCATTCTACCTCCAATAACTTACATAACAATGTCCCTGAATCACCCAACTCAGCTGAGCAGTCCCCTGTTCTGTCTAGTTCTCCCAACACCTCTACATCCGCACCTGCTCTTATCACTTCTGATTTAGCAGAAGCAAGTACCATATCCCCATCTTCTTCCCCTGCTATATCTCAATCTGTAAGTCCCACTTCCTCTCCTAATTTTCAGCCTTTCATCAATCCTTTTAACACTCACCCAATGCAAACAAGAGCCAAAAGAGGCATTGTACAACCTAGACTAAACCCTACCTTGTTACTGACTCATCTCGAACCAACCTCTGTTGGTCAAGCCTTGGTTGTTCCTCACTGGTACCAGGCAATGAAGGAAGAATATCAGGCACTGATGAGAAATCAGACCTGGACACTGGTGGAACCATCTGAATCAAGGAAACCCGTCGGTTGCAAGTGGGTTTTTCGGGTAAAAGAGAATTCTGATGGTACTCTTAACAAATATAAGGCCAGATTGGTGGCCAAAGGCTTCCATCAGCAGGCTGGAAGTGATTTTTCTGAAACCTTCTCACCTGTTGTAAAACATGTTACAGTAAGGACAATTTTGACACTTGCAGTCACTCACAAGTGGACCATCCAGCAAATCGATGTGAATAATGCCTTCCTCAATGGCACTCTTGAGGAGGAAGTGTTTATGCAGCAGCCACCTGGATTTGAGTCTTCTAATAAGTCCCTTGTGTGTAAGTTGAATAAGGCAATTTATGGGTTAAAACAGGCCCCAAGGGCCTGGTTTGACAAGCTTAAAAATGCCCTCATTCAGCAAGGTTTTCAGGCCAGTAAATGTGATCCTAGTCTATTTTTTTTGCATCAGGGCAAACTTCAGATAATGATTCTGGTTTATGTGGATGATATTATCATCACAGGAAATTCTGCTCCATTCATTACAGCCCTAATCAAACATCTCAATGAGGTTTTCTCTCTAAAACAGTTGGGCAAATTAGACTATTTTCTAGGCATTGAAGTCACACATTTGCCTAATGGCTCACTTCTGCTATCTCAAAGCAAATACATCACTGATTTACTAGCCAAGGTGAACATGACCAGTGCAAATGGTATGCCCACACCCATGGTTTCTAGCAGCAAATTATCCAAAATAGGTTCTATTGAGGTTGATGATCCTACACAATTCAGATCAGTGGTTGGGGCTCTGCAGTATGCTACACTAACTAGACCAGAAATCTCTTTTTCTGTCAATAAAGTTTGTCAATTTCTGTCCAATCCTTTGGAAGAACATTGGAAGGCAGTGAAGAGAATATTAAGGTATTTAAGTGGTACAAAACATCATGGTCTGCTCATTCAACCAGCCTCTCTTCAGCAGCCTCTGCAATTACTTGGTTTTTGTGATGCTGATTGGGCTTCAGACCCAGATGACAGGCGATCTACCTCTGGTGCCTGTGTGTTTCTTGGCCCTAACCTGGTAGCTTGGTGGTCTAAAAAGCAGCAGTTAGTGGCCAGGTCCAGTGCTGAAGCAGAGTATCGCAGCATGGCACATCTGGCTGCAGAATTGTTATGGGTGCAGTCTCTGCTCAGGGAGTTGCACTGTCCTTTTCTAACTCCTAAAGTTCTATGCGACAATCTGAGCACTGTAACTCTTGCTCACAATCCAGTTCTCCATAATAGAACTAAGCATATGGAGCTGGACATTTTCTTTGTTAGAGAAAAAGTCCTCAACAAGAGTCTTGTTGTGGCTCATGTCTCTGCTCAAGACCAATGGGCTGATGCACTTACTAAACCTCTATCTGCAAACAAGTTTCTGCCCCTTCGTTCTAAGCTCAGAGTTTTTGACAAACATAGTCTGCTAGAACTACCCCCAGCTTCAAAGGGGGAATGAAAGATGTAATGCTGAGCTGTCTTAGTTTGTTAGATCGTAACAGAATTCTGTTATGCTGAGCTGTCTTAGTTTGTTAGATCATAACAGAATTCTGTTATGCTGAGCTGTCTTAGTTTGTTAGATCATAACAGAATTCTGTTATGCTGAGCTCTCTATATAAACAGAGCTATCATTGTATCTAAAATGATCAATACAATTGAGATTTGATATAACTGTTTTTTCTGTTAGCTTTATGATATTCTATCAGTTTGGATGAGAAATTAGCATGAGTGAGCAGACCCTTGTTAGGATGAGAAATTCTACATGCTCCCTCATTAATCAAGATAGCTAGACCTCTCTCTTAGAATTGTTCAATACTGAACATATTGTTAATTAAATCGGGAATGTAGTAAACATCACAAATAACACAAGTCTAATTATTCAATGTAACTTTGATGTTACCTTCCCTTGTACTTGCATTCTCGTCCCATTGCCTAGTTTGACAGAACTTTTGAAACTTGTGTCTTGTGTGTAGAACCATTTGCGATCTCCACTCACGTGGTTGGAACAACTTGAATCCAGATACCATCCATTCTCTTTTGTGCCAGTAAAATGAATTGTCATTAACACTAGTTCCTCGTCCTCTTCTACACATTAAGCTTCATGCTTCCAATCAGGGCAATTAGATTGAAAGTGTCCACGCTTGTGGCATTTGTAGCACATGATGTGCTCTCTAGATGAGTTCCCTCTGCTTCGACCCCTGTTGCGTCCTCGAAACATTGCCCTTCCTCAGCCTCGTCCGCGTGCATACGTTCGATCATCATGAGTAGCTTGCAGGACCAGATTATCTCCCTCCACATCTCTCTCTTTCATGAACTTTTGTTCATGAACTAGTAAAGAGCTTTAAAGTGCATCGACAGACAAAGATGTTATATCCTTGGATTCCTCGATTGAGCACACCACGAAATTCCATTTCTCTGTTAGAGATTGAAGAATCCACAATCTGCATATCGTCCATGCATTCTCCATAGCTCCGCATCTCATTTGCAACGACCATGGTGCGAGTGAAGTAGTCTGCGACACTCTCACCAACCTTCATTGCCAGCATCTCAAGCGAGCCTTTGAGACGATTGAGTTGTGTACTACGTACCCGTTCATTTACCTGAAACTTGATTTTCATTGCTTCCCAAAGCTGTTTTGCAGTGTCTCGTTTGGTGATAGTTTTAGGGTGGCTCGATCAATTGCAGCAAACAAATAATTCTTGGCTTTCAAATCTCTGAGACGCAACTCCTCCAATGCCTTCTGGTTGGTCACAAATTGAGTATCGTTATGGAGGGGAGTTTCAGTCTCGATGACACACCAATACTCCTTTGAGCGTAACAAATCCATCAGGAGGCTCCAATGTTCGTAGTCTCCGTCGAATCGGGGAATACAAGGTTGTGCAAAGCTATTTCCTCATTCGTTCTGCATCTTTGTGAAACTGTTACACAATGACTGCTGAAGGTATATTTGAAGTGTTTTATGTGCACTCAAACGAAGTAAAAGAGCTGTCCCGGAAGGGTAAGCTCTGATACCAAATGTGAAAAAGTTTGAATGAATAACAACGACTTGCTTTATTAGATAAATACAATAAAAATCTCTGCAATAACTAAACCCTAACATCATCTCCTAAGAATAACCTATATCCCTAAAGACTTGGTTTATTCCTAAAAACCAGCTACATCCCTCAATACTAGGTCAATTAAGCTAACATCACTTGATGTGCATTGTTGTTATCTAATCCTAACAAACATTATCTCATTTCTCTTTTGTGCAATGAAGTTTATTAGATATTTCAAAATAGATTATACGTGGGGGGCTGTGGTTACAGGGAGTGCAACATGCTTTGTTTTCTTTTTTCAGCGCTTCTGATTGGAGATATGCTGCAGAGCAGTTTGTGAAGAGGCTTCCAGATAAAGTTATTGTGCACCGTAAGCATCCCCACTTCCTTCCTAAATATACCTGCTACATTTCCTGGGCATCAGAGTATAGTTGATACCTTAGTAGAATTTGAAATGCACCATCTCACTTGAATGTCAAGTTTTTGGGTTGGGTTTGTGATCTATGTATCAGTTGTTGGATTACAAATGGATAGTTTGTTGTTTGGCTGAACTCGATGATATAAAACATCTTTCACAAATAGAAATGTTACTGATAACATAAATTTATCAACTATTTTTTTTCCTCAAAATATTAAATCAGCTTGCTCTGATATTCATCTGATTCTTGCCCTGACATTTCGAAGTCTGACAATCTTTAGCTTGTATTATGTTTTGCACTGTCTATTAAGAAAAAACCATCTGTGCATTTTACTCGACAATTTATGGACAGGCAGTGAATGCAATTCTTCAAGATTGACGTTTGACGGTGTTGACACAATGGGTGAGCGGTTAGCTGAAGAGGTACTTTGGTAATAATAATTTGACCTTTTTTTCTTTGCTCATCTTAATTTTTCATACTTCCCTAAAATCTCGTCTATAATGCTTGGTTTTCCATTACTCACTTGCATCTAAATCTTCAGTTTTATTTCGTATTTGACCAGGTACTGTCGGTTGCTAGACGATGGCCAGAGGTACAGAAGATATCCTTTGTCGCACATTCTTTAGGAGGCTTGGTTGCAAGATATGCAATTGGAAGACTTTATCATAGTTCTTTAAAATTGGAACATCTTGGTACCACCAGAAACTGTTTCAATGAAGAGAAGACAGAATATTCAAAACAGTACCTTGAACAGAGTTATGAAGCCAAAGTTGCTGGTTTAGAGCCAATGAACTTTATAACATTTGCAACACCTCATCTAGGTTCAAGAGGAAATAAACAGGTACTTTTATATTAGCAGTAGCTCAAGATTTGGTTGAGGCTGTCACTTAATTACTTAAAATTGTTGAACAGAAAAATACTAGTCATTTCAATTTTTTTACAAGAAACGTACACATGGATTGCATTTAAGTCGAAACTCACTGCAATTAGGGAAATTGTTTTAGGTTTAGTAATTGTTAAGAGTCCCACATCAGACAATATATGGCCTGAACATGTGTTTATAAGTGGGGGCAATCCTCACCTTACAAGCCGGTTTTATAGGGTTTAGTTAGATCCAACCACACATTCTTAAGAGTCGTAGACTCGTAGCTTTTGGCATATAATTTATGGCAATCATTTTATACTCTAAAGGTACAGCTTCAGACTGATATTTTATTTTGAATTTGTTTTGGTTACACTAGTATCCTTTTCCCATTAGATATTGTTAGAATATTCGAAACTATCTTGTATAATAATTATATTATGTTTGAATATCTTAGTTTATCTAGTAGGATCAATTTGTAATAGTAGAATATCTTAGATCATCTACTAGGACTAGTTTTTATATTTTTTAGCCATTATGATTTGTTTCCTTATTTCCCTATATATTTATGTTTAGGTGTCTTCTAGACCTATAAATAGGTATTAGCATTTAGTCTTATGTTTATTTTTCTGTATTTTGCGCATCTTTGTGGGCTATTTCTTTCTTCTCAAGCCAAATGTCTTAATGTTTGTCTTGCTGTCAGATCCAAATTATTCGTTGGTTATATGTCATATGTGTTAACTAAGAAAGAATTTGGCCTAAAAAATGTATATCTGTTTTCATTCTGATCTGTCATATAAATACTGTACTTACAAGCTGTCAGGTTAAATTTCAACCCAGCTAAACTGTCATATTTACATTTACAGCTAATTATGTTAATTAAGAGAATAAATATTACAAATAAATGTACAATCTCAACATAATTATTTCTAATAATTAGCTCATTATTGCCAATAATTCTATTGACATCCCCCCTCAAATTGATGCTGGTAAATCTACAAGCATCAATTTGCCAAGTAGAAAATTGTGTCGCTGACGTGTCAAGGTTTTATTGAAAATGTCAGCTATTTGAACCGATGTTGAGACATGTGGTAGATTTATGACTCTTCTATCATAGGCTTCTCGAATAGAGTGACAATCAACTTCGATGTGTTTCGTCCGTTCATGGTAAACTGGATTTGCTGCAATCTGAACGGCACTGATATTGTCAGCATGCAGCGGAGTTGGTTGTTGTTGAGAGAATCCAAGCTCACTAAGAAGACCACGCAACCATATTATTTCAGAACAAGTGGCAGATATTGCACGATATTCTGCTTCAGTGGATGACTTTGAGACTGAATCTTGTTTCTTACATTTCCATGAAATAGGAGCATTTCCTAGGAACATACACCAGCCAGTAGTAGATTTTCTTGTGTCTGGACATCCAACCCAATCGGCATCACTATATGCTTGGAGTTTGATTGATGAATCAACAGGAAAAAATAAGCCTCGCTTTGGAGTGCCAAGGAGGTATCTAATGATTTGTTGTACCGCTGAAAGAAGGAAATGTCGTGGAGTTTGCATGAACTTACTAACTGTGTGTACATCGAAAGAAATATCTGGGCGAGTGATAGTGACATAGATAAGACTTCCTACCGGTTTGCGATATTGAGTGGGATCATCGAGAAGGTCACCTTCATCTCTTCTATATTTAACATTAACTTCCATGGGAGTGTCTATAGGGGTTGTATTTGTGAGTCCAGCTAGATGTACCAAGTCTTGAATATATTTTTGTTGATTTAGAAAAACACCTTCGTGATGATAATGCACCTCTAAACCCAAGAAATAAGTGAGACGGCCTAACTCTTTCATTTGAAAAGTTGAATGCAGCAAGTGTTTGATTCTAGAAATAGCATCTTGATCAGAACCTGTGACGACAATGTCATCCACATAAACAAGAAGCACCACAATGCCTTTAGGAGTCCTTTGTAGGAAAAGAGATGGATCATACTGACTTTGGTTGAATTCAAAACCAAGTAGTGTCGATCGAAACTTTTCAAGCCAAACTCTCGGTGCCTGTTTCAATCCATATAAAGATCGTTTTAGTTTGCAAACAGTATTAGGTGAAGGTGTAGGCATACCATTAGGAAGTTTGATGTAAACTTCCTCCTGAAGGTCACCGTGGAGGAATACGTTTTTAACATCCATTTGATGTCGTGGCCAAGCTTGTGACGCAACAATAGCAAGAATAGTGCGTACAGTTGTCATCTTGGCAACCGGAACAAACGTCTCATCATAGTCAAGTCCATATTCGTGCTTATTTCCAAGCACAACTAAACGAGCCTTGTATCGATCTAGGACTAGTTTTTATATTTTTTAGCCATTATGATTTGTTTCCTTATTTCCCTATATATTTATGTTTAGGTGTCTTCTACACCTATAAATAGGTATTAGCATTTAGTCTTATCTTTATTTTTCTGTATTTTGCGCATCTTTGTGGGCTATTTCTTTCTTCTCAACCAAATGTCTTAATGTTTGTCTTGCTGTCAGATCTAAATTATTCGTTGGTTATATGTCATATGTTGGAACTATTGGAATTATTCCAATTATTAGAATTACAAATTATTGGAATTATAATTTTGTATTTATGAGCATGTTCATGTATCTAGAAGTTTAGGAATTTATGCCTTGTAAATTACATACATGTACCTAGGAAATAATTTCAATCTTATCTTGTAATTACTCTCGAGTGTATATAATCAAATCACTTGAGTGCTTTGTAACTCAAGCATTTCACCAAATATTCAATTTACAACATGGTATCAAGAGCTCTCGATCTTGAGAGACTTGCTTCCGCATAAATCCTAGCCGTCTTCATACGGTAAACCCTAAGTCATCTTCATTGTGACAATTTTTGCTGCCTTCATTGCAGCCTTGTTACCCTTCATTGCAGTTTTTTTTCCTGTCCTAAAACTGTCTGAAAACACCTCTATTTGATCCTTTTTTGCTGCTGTTTGGCTTGTCTTATTGTTGTTTTCTCTAGCTTGCTACAAATGGCTGAAAAAATTTCTGTTGATTACTCTTTATCATTCACCAAGGATGAGGTGAATCGTTTAAAGGCTATAGTTGACTCTCAGTATGCCTTCTGGAAGTTGTTCTCTACCGACGACCGACTTGAGTGTATGCTCTCAATTCTTTTACTGTTTGCGGTAAAATCTCTAAGAATGTTTGGATTTTGGACTCTGGTGCCACCGACCATATGACATTCAATCCTAGTATGATTTCCTTTTACACCTCCTCTGAGAAGAACCGTTATGGTTACGGTTGCTAATGGTTCTTATGCCCGTATTGATGGTTCTGGGAGTGTTAACTTGCAATCTTCACTTCAATTACAGGGTGTGCTACATGTTCCCACACTCTCTCACAACCTAATATTTGTTCGTAAACCCACCCATGATCAGAATTGTAAAGCAATATTTTTCACTTCTTATTGTGTTTTTCAGGATCTTACCACGGGGAAGACAATTGGAGTTGTTCAGGAAAAGGGAGGGTTGTACTATACCTATCTGTCAAAACCCACGATTCTCTCTGTGTATTTTAGGATATTTTATATTTGCTATAACAATTGTATCTTGCTATTATTAGGTCTAGGTATTTATGATCAATCCCAAAATTACAGGGATTTGTTCCTTTAAGAATTAGTTGTCCATATTTCCTAAAATAGGCTGCAGGCTCATGTATATATACAGGTCTAATGATCTAATAATATAATAAGAAATATATTATTCCTTTTAAATCTGAGATGGTATCAGAGCTCCTGATCCTTGGGAGTCTCTGACCGTGTCTGTAAACCCTAATTTGCAGCCTTCATTGCTGCTTGCAGCCTTCATTGCTGCTTGCAGCCTTCATTGCTGCACCCTCTTTAAGCCCTGTTGCAAAGCCTCTCTACCTTGATCACATCTGGTCATGGCTGAGATCGTGAATCCCACTCTGGAAACTGGGGACAAACCCCAGACCAATGGAGAATTGCAGAATGTCCATTCTGCTTGTCGGCTAAATGGGAAGAATTATCTCAAGTGGTCTCAACTCATTAAGACCATCTTGAAAGGAAAAGGAAAGGTCAGTCACTTGACTGATAATATACCTGATGAAACAGATCTCAAATTCAAATCCTGGGATGAAGAAGACTCCGTGATTATGGCGTGGCTGTGGAATTCAATGGTCCCAGAAATCAGTGATACCTGCATGTTCCTTAAGTCAGCAAAGGAAATTTGGGAGGCAGTAGAACAGACTTATTCTAAGGCCAAGGATGCTGCTCAAATTTATGATGTAAAGGTGAAAACCGTGGCAGCCAAACAGGGAAACAAATCTGTTACTGAATATGCCAATCAACTCAAGTCTCTATGGATGGAATTGGACCACTATAGAGTTATAAAAGCAAAGTGTTCAGAAGACTCAGCAATCCTTAAGAAGTATATTGAACAAGATAGAGTATATGATTTTTTGGTAGGCTTGAACCCTGAATATGACCAGGTCCGAATTCAAATCTTGGGAAAAGAGAAAGTCCCAGGGCTTAATGAAGTGGTAGCCATTATCCGGAGTGAAGAAAGCAGGAGAGGACTGATGCTGGAAACCTCAACCACTGAAAGCTCCGCAATGATAGCTGAAGGAGGAACAATCATGAGGAAAAATGGGGTTCCCAATATGGAGAAAAACCATGAGGAGGTCTGGTGTACCCACTGTAACAAGCCGTGTCACACAAGGGAGAAGTGCTGGAAATTACATGGAAGAACCCCAAGCCGAGAATGGGGGCAGAAAGGAGGCCCTCCAAAAAGGGGAGGACAAGGGCAAGCACACATTAGGCAAGGGCAAGCACACATTAGACAAGGGCAAGCACACATTGCTAATGGTCAAAGGGAAGAATCTGGTCAGCTGAATCAAGAAGAAATAGAACGAGTAAGATCATTCCTTAGCAAACTCGAGAAGCCCACAAGTACATGCTCCTTAATATATTC